ACACACACACACACACACACACACACACACACACACACACACACACACACACACACACACGCACACACCTGCCTGAGGAATGCTAAATAGAATAATCTGTACCAGAGATGAAAACAGTCACTCAACTGCTGTTGGAGGTTCGGCTCGGACTGTGTGTGTTTGAATTGTGTTTGTGTTTGTGTTGGACAATAGGAATGTTCTTCATTGAGCTGAAAGCGTCTGACTCAGCCGACAGTATTTCAAACTAAAGCCTGTGTGTGTGTGTCTCTGTGTTTATGTGTCTCTATGGTGGCGGGGACATTTTGGTCCTCACCAAATCATTCCTTCTTTCCAAATACTCCATTAAACTGTGATCACCAACAGATTTTACTTCTGAAGTGAAACGTTTGCTCAGAGTGTTCGGTGCAGCAGTGTCTGAATCTCCACTGCCTGGATTTTGTCGCATTAAAAGTGGCTCTCCACAGTAACAGGATTGCAGGTGTTGCACACAGCCGGGGGCTCCCATCGTTTTCAGCCATAAACCAGTTGAATGCTGCAGGTTTGTTCTGTTGCTGTCGGATCTGGATAATTATCTGTTTATATGCATGTTCAGGAAAAGGCGACAGCTTCGAGCGGTGTGTGTCGGAGGCAGAGCTCCTGCTGGACCAGTCCGTGCGTCTGGAGCAGGCGGGAGAGGTCGCCGCAGCGCTGTCGGCCGTCAACGAAGCCGTCTGTAAGCTCCCCCCCACTTACCCCGACTTCACTCCTACACACTAACACACACACACACACACACCTCACACACACTAAATAACTCACACCTACCAAATAAACACTCTGTGAGTGAGGTCAGCACACCCCCGCCCACAAACCCTCTGCTTGGTTGCTAATGGAAACCGGAGACAACACAGTGGCCTGCTGTTAACGACATCAACCACTGAGATCTCAACATGTTTGTGTGTTACTGAGGAATGACCACACACACACACACACACACACACACACACACACACACACATCAGTTTGTCATCACTGTGTCGAGACAATAAAAGACGGATTAAAGAAAGTGAATAAACCATCAGGATGAGAAACAGTGCGTCGAGCTTCAGATCCTAAAACCTCGTCTGTAAAGTTTAGTTCCAGTTTGTTTGAGTTCAGGTTTTAATTAGTGGCACTCAGAGCTGGGGGGGGGGGGGGGGGGTTCTGTCAGCGGACATGAGAATAAAACACTAAGACGTTCATGAGCTTCCTCCTGTTCATGAGTTTCTCTGGAGGCATCAGAGACAATATCTGAACTTTAATGTCTTTAAATGAGGTCAAATCGATCACTTCACATAATTCTGACCCAGGTTTTCAGTCACATCTCCGTGTTCTGTGTTAATAATATATATATACTAATAAATAAATAAATAACTATTGAACGGGTTATAATTTAGTTAATTTAATGTTCTGTCTGAATATAATTTCAACCATTTCATCGAGGACCAAACCTCTCATGTCATTTCCATCACACACACACACACACACACACACACACACACACACACACACACACACACACACACCTCCACCATGTCAGTTGTCTGATATTTGATTTATTTTAAGATTTTCGCATGAAATCATCTCAAGTTATTTTATGCATCTTTCTTTTCCTTTGTCCTTATTCATTCTTTCCTCTCTTTTGTTCTTTTTTTGTTTTTTTTATCTGTCTTGCATTTTCTGGTTGACACGTGGCCTCGCTGCAGCCAAACTGCGGCCAGTGGCGGCTGAGGGCGGAGCTAGTAGTAACAGCCGGCTGCAGCGCTGCATGAGGAGAGCCCGCAGCTTGCAGCAACGCATGCAACTGCAGCAGCGGCCGCAGGACTCAGAGGCAGTCAGACAGCATCCAGAGCAACAGCAGGAGGAAGAGCAGCAGCTCCAGGAACAGCCCAGGTACCGCCTGTAGTCTGCTCAGCCAATCAGACGTCACATAGCATCGGAGAATATTTAGTCTTTTTCATGAAATTACAACCAAAACAAAAACTTCAATGTGGTTAAAAAAAAGTTTGTTACTTCAGTTTCCACCTGATCGTCTTAAATATCTTGTTTTAGCCTTGATGGCTCCAGAAGAAAAGCCAAAGTATCTGGGTCGCCCCCTGGTGTCTGGCTGCACCATCGTTTGTAAACCCTCCTCCTCCATGTTAGCAGACGGGACATGAACCAAACTAAAAACTCAAAGATGTCTCTGTCATTTCAGCTCGTTCTTATCTCACTGATGTTCAAGTGTTTCTGATCGGTTTGGTTTTAATTAGTTATTTGATGATTAAAGAGGCGGAGACGTCATGATTGACAGCTGACACTGACTCATGATTGGACGAGCGTGTGTTTGTTCGAGACTTCAACCGCACGGATTGACTCGACAATCACGACTTCTGTGAGGTGTTTTCATGATGACTGGCTAAGTGAGAACCATGGTGACAGATTGTCAACACCGAGGGAAACAACCTCTCACACACACACACACACACACACACACACACACACACACACACACACACACACAAAACCAGCCGTGTGTTTAGCAGGAGCTCTCGAATGACACCATCTGTTCCAGACATAGTGCACGCCAACACACACACACACACACACACACTCACTTCCTTCCTAACACGCCTCTCTCACTCTCTCTCTCACTCTCTCTCTCTCTCTCTCTCTGTCTCTCTCTCTCTCTCTCTCTCCCTCTGCAGTGAAAAGGCTCTCACGCTCCAAATACTTCTGACGAACAGACAGGGCGACCAATCAGCCGCCAGTCAGGACCAGCAGGCCCTGCCTCTCTCTCCATGCTTTGTTAAGCCCCTCCCTCCCAAAACAATCTCTGACCCCGCCTCCAGCACAGGGGCTCCGTCAGGTTCTCCCAGCGAGGACAGCAGGACCGAGGGCCCCTGCACTCGTGTTGGGAAACCCCTCTCCGATGCTGGGTCCCTCCCTGCTGTGTGTGTGGACACCTGGGAGCAGAGTCCTCTGGAGGATTTGGCTCCACCCCCTCCACCTGAGGAGGTGGAGTTCTCCGCCCAGTGGACCAAAACATCGCCCGTCCCCATCCCAGCTCAGGCCCTCCCCCCGCTTAGGCCGTACTCCCGGACTCCATCACCCATCGGCACCAACGACGGCTGTCGTCAGATCATGGAGAAGGAGCCATGTTACGTCAGACAGGGACAGACCACACCCCCTTTATCCAGCTCCACTTCCAGAGTAGCCCCGCCCCCTCCCACCAGAAACTGGTCCTGCTTACACCTTGACCCACCTGATGATGTCGTCGATTCTTCTGATCCACCAACTTATGCGACCGCAGACTCACCTTCTAGTGCCCCCCCGCCCCCCGTGAACCAACCTGATCAAGCCCCCTCCGCCCCCCCCGCCCAGAGCCACAGAGCGCTCCTGCCTGTGGAGCGCTGGGCAGAGAACGTCAACAGATACTTCAGTTTCAAGAACGCAGCAGGAGAAGGAGAAGGAGGAGGAGGAGGAGGAGAGGAAGCAGCGTCGCCCTGTGAGGAGCTGTCAGAGCTGGACTCACTGTACCAGGCCAGTCTGCTGGCTCCCAGCATGCACCGGGGCAGCCGTGGTGTCAGTCCTCAACCGACTGGCAACAAACCAGGTACGAACTGCAGATGTGAGATTCTGTCACATGACACTTCTGACCGTCATGTGACCACGTCCAGAGTCACAGTCAGCTTTCACACACACACACACACACACACACAGGTTGTATTCATGGTGTAATGTTCGTGTTGCAGGTGTGAGAAGAATGGTGTCAGGATCTGGACGATCCAAAACACCGACAGCAGAGATAGAGAGATACGCCTACAGAACACCGGTAACACCTCTGCATAAGGTACAAGTGTGTGTGTGTGTGTGTGTGTGTGTGTGTGTGTGTGTGTGTGTGTGTGTGTGTCTGTGTGTGTGTGTGTCTGTGTGTGCGTGTGTCATTAAACCTCATCACTTCCTCATTAGCAGTTCGTTACTTCACGTCTCTTCTCTGTGCAGACGGCGTCGGGTGAAGACGAGAGCTACAGCGCAGACAACCTGCGACGCATCGCCCGCAGCCTGAGCGGAACCGTCATCGGGTCACGACCCCAAAACATCGGTGCCTCTCGCAGCTGCGTAAGTGACACAACAAAAAAACACTGTGTGTGTGTGTGTGTGTGTGTGTGTGTGTCTGTGTGTGTGTGTGTGTGTGTGTGTGTGTGTGTGTGTCTGCTGCCCCCCTGTGTTCACTTAGTGTAACTGCAGAATGTTTCAGGTTCCGCTCTCAGACTCTTCTCTGACTCTTCAAAGAATAATCATGACATCACTTCACCTCTGACTCATTAAACACTCTCGTGTCGTTGATCGCTGCTGGCGCTCAGCCGTCCTGTATCCAGCCCCCAGGCTGTCAGCCTCAGGCCAGCACATTAAAGATTCATCACTGATTCAGTTCTTCCATTAAGCTTTGAGCCGCAGCGCTCGGCCTGAGGTGATGACGTCCTGATCTGCAGCGACGGCTGAGGTTTGATTCCGTATATCAACACGCGTCAGAGGATTTCTTCTTCTCACGAGAACCAGATTTTTATGGATTATCATCACAGATTTATCTGATATATATCAAAGATTCGTCTTTATCCTCTAACTATATAATTTATTTATATAGAAATGAACGTCTTGTATCTCAGAGATACAAGATTGTTACCGTGTCATACTTTTGTTTTCATGTTTTTCCCTCCATCGTTCTAACTGGTTTTTCATTTCTTACCCCTCCTCTATTTTCTTTATCTCTTTTCTCTTTCTTTTCCTCTTTTGTCTGTTCTGTTTTTCTTTTCCTTCACTTCCTGTCTCCATCTTCTGTCTCCATCATTTCTCCTCCCTGTTCTTTTCTTTCTGTTGTCATCTTGTTTTACTTCCTCTCCCTGAAGGACCCCTCCGTGTCCAGACCCCCCCCCAGTCCCGCAGACCTTCACTCCTCCTCCTCCTCCTCCTCCTTCCTACTCCGTCGACCCAGCACCTCCTCCCTGCACCTCCCCTCCTCCTCCTTCACAGATCCCTCCTTCCACCACCTCCAACCCCGACACCACGGCCCCTCAGCTCCTGCACCTCCTCCACAGCACCCCCCCTCGCAGACATCACGGCCCCACAGCTCGGGCCCCTCCACCCGGGGACGCACAGGTAACCCGCTGGCCCTTCACCTCCACCTTCACCTCCACCTTCACCTCCACCTGCTGTTCACCAGCATCAACAAATCCAACGTCACAAAGCATCACACGAGCAGAGCTGCTCCTCCACCGACCCTTCGCTCCTTCAGGCTGTTTGAACGTCTCCGTCTTTAAATGATTTCATTAGTTTCCCTCTAAATGTTCTCATGAGAATTATAATGTGAAGGTTTGATCTCAGTTTCTGGACGAGACTCAAGACAGAACAAAATAATCAAACATGATAACTATTAAATATTGGAAATAAAAATGTTTATGATGCTCCCTCGTAAACCGTGAGGCCTCATGATGACCTGTGTTCTAATCATTGTCCTTTGTCTCCTCCTCCTCCTCCTCCTCCTCCTCTTCCTCCTCCTCAGGAGTTGCACCGAGCGTCCAGCAGCAGTTTCTGGTTGTGTCTGACAGGCATCAAGCTCTCTCAGGTCAAAGCCTCCACAGCATCGCGATGAGTTACGGCACTCTGCCCCGGGCTCCTCGCCGAGCCCCGCCTCCCTTCTCCTCCCTCCCCAGGTCAGGAGACTGTAGCACTGCCCCCCCGCCTGCTCAGCAGAGTCTCTACGCCACCCTGTCCCACCCACGCCGCTCCGCCAACACCGGGACTAACGGTCACTACCGGCAACCGTCGCTGCCCAGTAAAGTCAACGGGTCCGCCCACTACCCCCCACACCACAACCCCCCACACCACAACCCCCCACACCACCTCAGGGTGCCAGGTGAAGCCCCCTCCCAGCCTCTGCGGCTGGACGTCCCCCCTGAGACTGACTGGCGCCGTGAAGCAGACTACAGGACTGTCCAGCCCAGCTCCTCTTGGGATCTCCTCGCAGCTCGCCACCACCACCACCACCACCACCACCCGCCCATCCAGCGGACACAGTCCCACCACGCCCCCCCTCACCGGCCCCGCAGGGACCCCCTGCTCTGCTCCCTCTGCCAGCAGCTTCCAGCTGAGCCGCCACGCCCCTACTGCGCCTCCTGCGGCGCTTACGTGGCTCGGTTCCGCCCGGCCAGCTGATCAGAAGCTGACGGCAAAGGTCGCGCATCGTCACGAGGGAAATTAAATCTTAACGCCGACGATTCAGCCTGAGTTTAGTTTTTTTCATATTTTGCCAACATTCATTTTGACTGACGCTGCTCGTCGCTCTGTCTGTCCCGACTCGTCCCTCCTGGTGGTCTCTCCTGGTCGTCCCTCCTGGTCGTCTCTACTGGTCGTCTCTCCTGGTCGTCCCTCCTGGTCGTCCCTCCTGGTGGTCTCTCCTGGTGGTCTCTCCTCGTCGTCCCTCCTGGTCGTCTCTCCTGGTCGTCTCTCCTCGTCGTCCCTCCTGGTCGTCTCTCCTGGTCGTCTCTCCTCGTCGTCCCTCCTGGTCGTCTCTCCTGGTCGTCCCTCCTGCAGATGCTCAGTCCTTCACGTCTCTGAACGTTTGCTGGATTTTAAGCACATTTAACTTTCTGACGAAGACGAAGCGTCATGTGACCGAGCAGCAGGTCGACGTGTTCAGAACTTTGACTCTAAATAAAGATGGAAAATATGACGGCTCCCAGGAAGTGAAGCTAAAATGCCTAGATCGCCCCCTGGTGGCTGACTGCAGTATAGGTCGTTAACCCCGCCTCCTCCATGTGAGCAGAGGGGACATGGGCCCAAGTAGTTGAGGTTACTCGTGGAGACGGGACCTCGACACCACGGAGACAAGTCGTCCATCTTTATTCACTGTCTTTGATCTGAAGGTGAGCACATCGTCACAGGAAATGAAGGACACGTGACAGGAAGTAGAAGAGCAGCTCCTTCCTCAGACTGAATTTAAATTTACTCGACGTACTCCTCTATTTATTTTTGTAGGCTCGTCAGACTGAGTTGTTTGTAGATTCTCTAAAACTATTCTACCTGCATAACCTGCGTATACTCTGCTATAGACCTGATCTAATTTTATAAAGTGAGCTAGTGTCCGGCCTCGTCGTGCGTAACCTGAGGCTGATTTCCTGTCGTTAGAGAATATTAGACGAATCAGTAAAGCTTTTATTTTGACCGAGTTGCAGCTAATATTTAGCATGATGTTTTCAGACGTGTTCTAGCCTCGAGAGCCTCGCTCGTCTTTGCTTTACAATTATTGTAATGAGGATATATGCAGATGTTTTTAGTGCAGTGACTCGACTGCATGTAACTCTAATGTAGTGCACTTCACAAGTGTTGGAGATAGATTTCCTTCTTTTGCTCGTTGCTGATTTGTTTCGACGTCTCTCCCGTTATTAAGGGAGGAGCTTCTCCTGTGTCTCTACTCAGACCACGTGCAATTGGTTCAGTAGATTCTGAACAAACACCTTAAAAAAAAAAAAGAAAGAAAATCAAGGATGCTGTTAATCAACAGACTGAGAGACTTCTGTCCGACTGCCAAGAAACCTGGGGCTGACCCCACCCGCCTGGTGCCTCGGCTGAGCTTAAACAAACGAACCCAAGTCGAAATTCCAGAAAATTGTAAAAACAATAAATTTTAAGTTATTTCACTTGAAGATAACAATTTCAATTTTTCACTTAAAGTACAGAAAGTTGTGTGTTAAAAATATTTTAATGGGTAAAAATATTTTAATTTTTAAGTTGTAATAATCGGGACTGAACAAAATAAAGGCATCTTTTCAGAATAAAATCAGATTTTATTTCATATTTCGGACCGGACCTGAGTTGAAAACTGAATCGATGCAAAACAAACTGTGGATAATTCAAATGAAGAGAAATTAATTTGTTCATTATGTCAGAGTATTTTTCTTTTGGCTTTTTTGCTTCGCCAGATTTTATTTTGTTGATTTTTTGGGGGGTATATTTTTGATGCTTATTTTTCTACACTGTAGATCAACAGATTATTAAAATGTTTAATGGAAATCTTCCTCGTCTCATGTGATTCTTTCACTTGTTCATCGGTTCTTTCCGCCAGTTTTTTCTTTCGTCAGACTTCATGGCATCTCGATGATGATGAAGATGATGAAGATGAGGAGGAGGATTATCAGGAGCTCACTTTTCCTCAAACTTTTTTTTTTTTTACTTTGCAGAGCTTTAAAATTCTCGAAATGCGACTGAATAAATGCGCTGATAAAAAAGTGGCTCTGTATTTGTGAAGACGTCAGATGAAGCAACAGTTAAGTTCATGTCAGTCGACTCCTGTGGCGTCGTGACATCACAGACTCGTCCGTAGATAAGAACATTTTATTTTGTGACACGTCTTTTCTGTGAATGAGTTTTCATTGTGAAAACACAAATCCGGCTCAGCTGTTTATATAAATATATACGGCTCTGTGTTTTTTTACACAATAATATTGGCGGCACTTTACAAACATCACAAACTTATGACTTTACATAACAAATATTTTCTTAATGTAAAATATGTTAAAATAAAAATTTCCTTAAAACAAAGATTTTTCCAAAGACGGGAATTCAACTCAACTTTCTGACGTAGATTTCAGAGCAGAGCTCCTCTGGTGCAGTTTGTGATGTGAGCACGAGTGTTTCTCCTCCTCAGACAGAAGCAGCTGATCTGGTACAAGTGAGCGAGCGGCGTCGGCAGAGTGACGCAGGAAACACCAAACACAATGTTCTTCTCTCAATGTCCTCCAGTAGCTACCTGATCGCACCACAGCGCCCTCAGGTGGTCTTTTGGAGCAGCAACCCGGTGAACACATTGTCCTCTGACTCCGTCCATGCTCCTCCCCTCAGTTCAGGCCTCACCTCCTCCCCCTCCCTCAGCATCAGGAGGCTCACACCTGTAGCTGGCCCCGCCTCCGCCACCACCCATTGGTGTAGAGACGCTGGAGCTCCGCCCGACGCCCTCCGCAGGACCACGTGGGCGGGGCCCGGCCTCAGGTCCAAGGTGAGGATGAACAGGTAGAGCCCGCCCACCGGAGCCGTGAAGGTGCCGGTGTCCGAGCGAAACTGACCCCGGTTCAGAGACGCATCGAATGTGATGACGCTGTCCGAGAGGCGCAGCGGAGATCCCGCCACGAACATCAGGGAGACTTCTGATTGGTCGAACAGCACAGGAACACCTGGACAGAGAGGAGGGTCATTCGACAGCTTCACGACTCAAGTGAAAACGTTATTGACGTAGACGGTGGACACTCTTTGTAACCAGTCGCCCTCTGCTGGTCAGTTGAGAGAATACGGGTTTCAGACCGAGAGTCTTTGTCTATTTTTATCGACTCGTAGAAAAGAGTAAGACTCCTTGCTCACCTGATGAACCCCTCTTGTGTCGATGGTCTCCTCCTCTTCCTGATCCGTCCTTTCTTCCTCCTCCTTTCTTCCTCTTCTCTTTCTTCCCGTCTCGGTTCTTCACGAGCTGCGACAGTTTGTCGAGGTCCAGCGTTTCCTCGGATCCCACCAGCACGTCTGCGTTGATGAACACGTTATTGAAAACCCTCAGGTGCTCCTCCAGGCCTCTCTTCAGCCACGTCACCTCCGCCTGCAGCTTGGCGGCCTCACCCCTGGGCTGCACCTCCCCCGGGGTGGGGGCGGTGGGGCAGGGGCAGGGTTTCTCCTCCAGCTGCTGCACCTTCAGGTCCAGCTCCTCCACCGTTTTCTCCAGGTTCCACAGATCGCTGCCGTCTCCTCCCAGGTCCACTGGTCGCCTCCCGTCAGGGTGGAGGAGAAGCTGTCGCTCCCTGGATGTTTCTCCAGCATCGCTCCTCCTCATGTCACCAGGAAGCCAGTGGTCAGGAGGAAGGTGTGAGGAGGAGGGCTGGTCAGCAGGTGGCACCTCCTCTCCACCTCCTGGGAACAGAAGGAGAAGAAGAGGAGAAAGTTTATTTCTGTAAACACTCATTAAGATAATCTCAACTTTGTGTTGGTGGTCGCTGCCTCACACATCAATAAATATAATTATTACGTGTTTGTTTTGTAGTATTTTCAAATTCGAGTATTTTCAAAGATTCAAATGTATTTAAATCGTTTACACAGAAGCATCAGAATTAACTTTAATTCATTAACGAAAGATTCATTCAACTACTTTCTATCACTGATAAATACTAAATGAAAAGTAGCTCAAATAAAAATAAAGCAGTATAAAGTTTTGTGTTGAGTTGTTGTAGCTTCTCCCAACTGCCACTAGGTGCTGCTAAAGAGTTGGATGCATCCTGCAGAGTGTGAAATCTACATCAATCATCTTCCACAGGAAAAACAAGTGAGAGGTGAATCTAACGAGAGAAGAACGAGTGGAGAACAAACGTCCGGTGAGAAGCTCCTCCTGCTGGTTCGTACCTGTCCGGCTGTCGAGCGGCGACCTGATGCTCAGGTTGTGAACGCTCAGCTGCTCCTGCAGGTGCCTCAGCTCCTTCTTCAGGGCCGGGATGGAGTTGGCCTCCTGGTCCTGGTAGGGCCACTCCAGGAACTCCAACACCTCCTCCCCCAGCAGCAGCTCCAGCACGTCATTGTGTCGAATGGTGTCTTTGAGCAGAGAGTTGAAGGAGCTCGCCAGATGCTGCATCTCCTCCTTCAGCCTCGTGTCCCGCTCCCGCAGACCCCCGACCTCGGCCTGGACGTCCGTCAGCGAGCTGCTCAGCCGGGTCAGGGTGCGGTCCAGAGTCCTGGTCCTGTTCTGCTCTGAGACCAGAGACTCCTTCACCTGCAGGACGTTAAAGTAGAAGACAAGGTCGGCATGTTTCTTTTCTTGACTCTGTCTAAGTGTTCCTAATAAACTGACGGCTGAGCGTTGGGATACATTTTTATTTCAGATGTTTATTTGCGTCTTCAGTAAAAAGCGATTGGGTGGTTTTATGTTTCCCACCTGTTGGAGGCCATGTTGAATTGCTTCCACTGCCGGCTCCCAGTCGCTGGCCCCGCCCCACTGCTCCACCTCTCCTGCGTTGTCCTCGTCCAGGGCCATTTTGTTCTCGTTAGCCAACGCCGTCACGTTGGCGACGCTCCTCTCCAGCAGAGCCACGGCGGCCGTCAGCCCTTTGCAGTCGCAGTTTGCGGCTGAGTGGTTCTGGTAGAGGGCGGTGAACAGGTAGTCCGTGTCCACTTCCACCTCCTGCAGCTGCTTACTGTGCTGCGTCAGGTTCAACGCCAGCTCCTCCACCCGCCCCAGCACCCCCACCTTGGCGGCCTCCACCTCCAGCCCTGTCTCCATGAACAGGATCTGAGTGTTTCGTGCCGTCTGGTTGATGAGCTTCTCCAGCTGCGTGAAGTCCCACCTCAGCTGCTGGACGCTCCCCAAGGTCACGTCCACGTCCTCCATCAGCCCGCTCACCTGCACGTGATGAAGACGCAAGAAGTTGCATTAGTTTATAAGCTCTACTGCAGCGAGCCACCAGGGGGCGATCAAGGCCCTTCGGTCCATCCCTATTTACAGAGCTGACACAAAAGACCCACCTTCACCGTGTTGTTGACCACCATGTTGTCCAGTCGCTCGATGGCGTCCCACAGAGAGGAGGAGCCTGAGGGCTGCGGCGGCAGCTGGTGGGGGGGCAGGGAGGAACGAGGGAGCCGATCGTCCGGCGGCGTCTCTGTGATCTGATCCTGGTCGACCTTCAGCTCCGACAGCGTGGTGTTCATCGCCTGCAGGCTGACCTGAGACCAGAGACAGAGGTCAACGGCTGAGACTAATTTATGACCATTACAAAAATACGAGTTGTTATTATTTGTCCCTGGCGTCCTCTGACCTGCAGCGTCTTCTGGTGGCGTTTCAGCTTCATGTCGATGTCCGTCTTGAAGCTGGTGAGGTTGTAGTGCAGCATTGCATGCTGGGAGTGCAGCCTGTTCTCCAGGTCCATCCGCTGACCGTGCATCTGCGCCCGAACGTCCCTGATGTGCTCAAACACCTCCTCCAGTTTGGCCTCCAGCCGCTCCTCCACCGCCTCGTCGTGCTCAGGCTCCTCCAGGACGCCCGCCTGCAGCTTCGCCCCCTGCTGGCTGCTCTTCAGCTGGGCCACGTCCTGGGCCAGGTCCCCCACCTGTCGGCTCAGGTGCTCCAGCGAGCGGTTGAAGCCCTGCAGGACCGGCTGCAGATGGAACATGACCAGCTCCATCATTTGAGGAGCAGTTAGGACAGCAGTGACGCCTGGGGGAGGGAGGGAGGCACCATCATTTTAGATTCAACATAAATATAAACCGTTATAAAAGTTTTATGTCTCTGCAACGGTGACACCCGGTGGCCGGAGGTACTTTGGGTCGTCAGTCCGTTCTGTTCTTGTGAACGCGATGTCTTCAGAACCTCGGAGGTCAAAGGTCGCAGCTATGATGGGTGGAGACAAACAACCACAGGGCGGAGATTCTAGTTTCTAAATATCTTTAAATTTAGATTTGAAAAGGACAAAAGGTCACTGAAGTTATTTAGGAAGTTTTTACTGATCTGATCACAAAGAGCTTCTCACACCCACACTCCAAACTAACTTTAGCCACAGAGCCACAGGAGCGCTGATGAGCTATGACCCTCTGGAGACCTGGAGTTGTTCTTGTTCTAAATTGGAGCTGTGTCCAAACTGGATTTTAAAACACAGCCGCTCCGCCTGGAAAACAGTCGGAAACAGAAAACGTCTCAGCTGCTGTTTCCGTCCTGTGGGCGCTCTGCCTCTGAAAACACGAGTGATGCTGCTGACGCACAGCGGGCCTCCGCGGAGACGAGCCTGCCGAGAGTGTTTCCAGGAGATTAGATGAGATTTCACAGTTTGTTCCTGTTGCTCCAGAAGAGACTGAGAGAGAGAGGAGCCAGGAAAACACCGAGACCACAGGACGCTGCCCGTCCTCAGATCTGATCTGTTGTTCCTGAGGTTTGAATCAAACTTCTTACATTTCATGATTCTTCTTCTCAGGATCCTGAGAAAGAAGCTGCTATAT